ATCAAAATTCACAAATAGATAAATCATTCTAAGTTTTTGGGGTGTTATAATAATGACTTGGAACTTCGTCGTGATGCCGGAAATGTTCTACAATGATGAAAGCTATTTCATCCTAAAGTTTAAATCGGATAAGGAAAGAGATGAAGTCATGATTTAGGGGCCGTATACAATTCACAATTTACCAATGATAATCACAGAGTGGAGACAAGGCTTCTCTATGGAGAGGGACATGCTACGAGTGGTGCCGATTTGGTTAAAGCTTCCTCATTTGCCCTTGCATTTATGGGGAGCAAAAAGTTTGAGGAAAATTGGTAGTGCAATTGGAAATCCTATGATCACAGATGAATGCACTGTGGGGAAATTGAAAGTCACATATGCCTGAATTCTAGTAGAGGTAGATGTGACACAAAAGCTATGTGAGGAGATAACGATTAATGATCCTGAAGGCAAGAAAAGGCAACAAAAGGTTGAATATGAATGGAGGTCGCAGTACTGTGAGATGTCTATAACAAGGAGAAAAAAATATCAGTCAAGAATGGCAAACCAAACCAGCACAAGAAGATCACATTGAAGGCCCAAGTAGGATCATACAGGTAGAAGAGGATTAAGCTAAGAAGATAGCATAGATACCAAGTCATGAGGATACAATGGCAACGCCAAGTAATGTTGGCATCTGGACAGAAGTCAACAAGAGAACAAGAGACAAAGGCAAGAAGGTAATGAATGACAATCGAGAAAAACACTTTTTCGGATAGAATGACTTTGAAACTTTAGGAGTTTGGAATGACCCTAAAGTAACACATCAGGATAAATAATAGTATCTTGGAATTTTAGGTGGCTGAATAAGGTAGCCAAGAATAAAGAGATAAGCTCTCGTCTCTCTAAGCTAAACCCTGAGATAGCTATAATAGTAGAAACTATAGTCAAGCAGAATAATGAAGAGAAAAGTAGACAAATATTGGGAAACAAATGGTCAGTGATTGACAATTATAAGGAGCATCCAAATGGTAGAATATGGGTTATGTGATATGGAAGCAGAGTTAAGGTGAGAGACATCAAAAGTACTAGTCAATTGATCCATTGTGGTGTGTATAATATTGATGGAAGTTTCACTAACTAGCTCACAACTATATATGCTTCTAATAAGCTTGAAGAAAGAAGACTGCTTTGAAGGGACATTGAGGAAATAGGAAAGAATCAACAAGGGCCTTGGAGTCTCATGGGGGACTTTAACAATGTTCTTAGCATACATGATAGAATAAGTGGGAACCTATTAAAGAATTTTAGTATAGTGACTTGAGTAGAATGATGGAGGATGTTAGACTCTTTGAAGTAGAGAGAAAAGATGATAGGTATACTTGGTTTAACAAGCATACTGATGGAGCTATTTGCTCTCGAATTGATGGAGCTATTGTTAATATGGAGTGGATGCAAAAAAATATTCAGAGAATGGTGCATGTCTTGGAACCTGGAGTATCAGAGGATTTTTCTTGTAATATAGTTTGAAAATTGGTCTTTCAAAGTCTCATTTCTCGTCCATCACGCCATTTAAAACGCGAATGTGGAATTCTCTTTATTTCTTTTTATTTCATTCAATTTTAGAAGCGGTAGTTATTGACTTGGTATAACATGCAGCAATCAACCTCTTTTTTTCTCATTTTATCTTCGTTTTAGATGTTGTAGGATATATTAGGAAAAACATTGAAATGACTTGTCTCACTTGAACCACATCCTGATAATGCTTGTTGTAAAATATTTCACTGATGGAATTAAAAGTTCTGCTTACAATGTTGCAACTACATGCTTTAAATAAGAGAGAATAGAACACCTAATGGGTTTTGACTAATGGGCCTCATTACTAATACTACTAATTACTATTTACAGTCTAATATTTACAACACTCCCCCTCAAGATGGTGAATAGATATCTATCATTCCCAACTTGCAAGTAAGTTGCTTGAATCTTTCTGTTGGTAAGCCTTTTGTTAACACATTTGCGAACTGATGCTCAGAAGGAACGTAAGATGTAGTTATCAGCCCACTATCCAACTTCTCTTTGATAAAATGTCGGTCAATCTCAATGTGTTTAGTCCTGTCATGCTGAACAGGATTATGAGCAATACTAATAGCTGATTTATTGTAACAAAACAATTCCATAGGGCCTTCACACTGTATCTTCAAGTCTTCTAGAACTTGTTTCATCCACAATAGTTCATAAATTCCTAGTGCCATAGCTCTAAATTCTGCCTCGGCGCTTGATCGAGCAACTACACTTTGCTTCTTACTCTTCCAAGCTACAAGGTTACCACATAGAAAAGTACAATAGCTTGGCGTAGATCTTTTGTCACTCACTGAGCCGGCATAATCCGCATCAGTGTAAGTCTTCATAGCTAAATTCTCACCTCTTTTAAACAAAAGTCCTCTCCCTGGAGTTGCTTTAAGATATTGTAGAACGCGGTCTACAGCCTGCAAATGTCTCACCCTCGGATCATGCATGAATTGGCTCACCACACTGACTGCATATGCTAAATCTGGTCTAGTGTGTGCCAAGTAAATCAATTTTCCCACTAATCTCTGATATTGACCCTTGTCAACTTTGTCACTTTTCTCCTCAAAGCTTATCCTGTGATTTTGTTCAATTGGAACACTTGCAGGTTTACATCCAAGTTTGCCAGTTTCCTGCAAAAGATCAAGTACATACTTCCTTTAAGAGATAAAGATGCCTTGCTTTGAGTAGGCTACCTCAATTCCCAAGAAATACTTGAGTTGCTCAAGGTCTTTCATCTCAAACTCTGCCAATAATTTCTCTTTGAGCAAATGTCTCTCAGTCAAATCATCTCCTGTAACAATAATATCATCAACATAAACAAGAAGTACAGTCAATTTTCCTTCCTGTGAATGTTTACAAAATAAAGTGTGGTCTCCTTGACTTTGCTTATAGCCCAAACGCACCATTTCCTTTGTGAATCTTCCAAACCATGCCCGAGGGGACTGCTTTAGTCCACATAAGGCTTTATTCAATTTACACACCTTGTTAGCTTCATTTGTTATGCCAACACCCGGTGGAATCTCCATATACACTTCTTCCTCTAAGTCTCCATGCAAGAATGCATTTTTAACATCAAACTGTTGCAATTCCCATCCACATGAAGCAACAAGAGATAGTAAAATTCGAACAGTGTTCATTTTTGCCACTGGGGCAAATGTCTCCTCATAATCAATACCATATGTCTGAGTATAACCTTTTTCCACTAGTCTTGCCTTGTACCGATCAAGTGTGCCATCAGATTTATACTTTACAGTATAGATCCATCTGCATCCAACCGACTTTTTGTCTCTTTGCCTTTCAATAATCTCCCAAGTACCATTTTTTTCAAGTGCTCTCATTTCCTCATCCATAACTTGGACCCAATTTCTATTTTCCAATGCTTCTTCAACTGATAATGGGATTTTCACAAAATCAACAGCTACAAGAATATTGATAGCTCTATTCACCTTTTCCTCCAATACTCGTTTGCTTCGAAAATATAGAACTAGTTAGAATCTAGTATGAAAATGAATATTTGTTGGTGATTTTAGTATCATCAATGTATTTTAGTAGTAATGTGATTTATTATAGGTCGATGCAATTATGCGTTAAGCTTGGAAACGAGTTAGGGTAGTGCGGAGTGCACGCTCGTCGAGCCAACGTGCAATTGAATGCGAATAATTGAAAAGGGGTTCCAAGGGGCGAAGCCCCTGGCGGGGCGCGGGGCAGCGCCCCGTGGGGTTCCAAGGGGCAGAGCCCCTGACAAAATTTTTCTGAACAGTTGAACCTGTTCGAAATCCTTGAGAACGTTTGGACCCGTTCGAAATTTTTGGACCGTTGTGTCTTTTCAGTTTCTGTTATTAATCTCCTATATAAAGAGTCATTTGGCTTCAGTTTAAAAAAAAGACAGAATAACGAAAATCATACTTTCTCTCTACATTCCTGATCTGTTCTCTATTGCTAGAAGCAAATTGTTCTTCAAGAATAATATCCACAAAGATTTCGTGAACCCAAGCAAATAATAGGGCCGAAATACTTTGTTCGAAAAGTGTACGAACACGATTACTCGAAGATATCCAACATTATCATACCAAATTTTCTAACAATATCAACTTAAGTGTTGAAAACTACCAATAGAGGTTGGAATCCTCAGTGTAAGCTCTTGGTTTCTGCGACTATCATTAATATTTTCAACATCATCTAGAACAATCAGAACAACTACAAGTTTTATAATGCAAAACCAGTTTGGAGTTCTACAATATCTTGGGTTATGGCTAATGTAAATTTCTTTGGAAACCTCTGGTCCCTCTATGGCAAACTTCAAAGTCATGGAGACCTTCAAGGTCCTGATCCATCATCCTAAGGCGCAAAACATTGCTAAGATCTTTTGGATTCCTCATATATTTTATTAGATTAAAGCTAATATAGATGAAGCTTCCCATGGTAATTCTGGTCGTGCGGCTTGTGGAAGCGTGTTTAGAAATCATCTTAGTTCTCTTTCCTTTTCCCTTGTTCACATGACTGTCTTTGTGGTGGAGTTAAATGGCATGATATATCCTAAAAAGGTTGGCAAAAGTTTTGGATTTAATGTGATTCTATGCTTGCTTTTCTTTTCTTTTGAAAGCCTTTGGTAGTTACTTGGAGGTTAAGAAACTGGTGGAATGACAGTGTTTTAGGAAGGGAATCATTACGTCCGACAAACTTGTTAATGTTGACGTTTCTTTACACAATATTAATTGGCGGAATGAAATATTTTCTGTAGGAATATAATTTGGCTTCTTAATTTTGGTTTTCAATAGTTGAGGGTTTTGCCATAGTCCCCAATTATTTTGTATTTTTTGCCTCCTTTTATTTATTCATATCATTGCTTAAAAAAAAGTAATAGTTGATGTTGAATTATGAGTTTTTATTTTCCTTACATAAAAATAAAGCAAATTTGAAAACGATAAATAAAAGGAATATATTTAAAGATCTCATATAACGACACTGTGCAGAACAACAGTCTCAATTGTAAGTCCTGGTCCAAAGCCGAAGAGCACACCCCATTCGAGTCCTTCTCCCGTTGTCTTCAAACCATCTTGAGTTGATTTGTTTCTCATTTCATCCAAGATAAACAGTACACAAGCACTTGACATATTTCCATACTCACTTAGCACTTCCCTAGTGGCCCTCATCTTTTCGGGTTTCAAGGCTAACTTTTGCTCGACTTGGTCTAGAATTGCAGGTCCACCTGGGTGTGCAATCCAAAAGATTGAGTTGTAATCAGAAATTCCCAATGGTTTGAAAGCCTCAACCAATGCTTTATCGATGTTCTTAGAAACAATCCCAGGAACATCTTTAAGAAGGTGGAACGTTAGCCCTGCTTCGCGAAGGTGACCATCAATGGCTCCTTCACTATCTGGAGCAATTGTTTGTGCAGTCCAAACCATTTCAAATATAGGCTTCTCAATTTGTGGTATTGGGTCAGAACCAACAATAAGTGCTGCTGCTCCATCTCCAAATAGTGCTTGTCCAACAAGACTGTCTAAGTGAGTGTCACTGGGGCCACGGAATGTGACGGCAGTAACTTCAGAACAGACGACTAGCACACGAGCACCTTTGTTGTTTTCAGCCAAATCTTTAGCCAAACGAAGTACCGTGCCTCCAGCGAAGCAACCTTGTTGGTACATCATGAATCTTTTGACATATGGGCGAAGACCTAAGAGTTTGGTGAGTTGGTAATCAGCTCCAGGCATGTCTACACCACTGGTTGTACAAAAGATTAAGTGTGTAATCTTTGATTTTGGTTGACCCCATTCTTTTATAGCCTTTACCGCAGCCTCTTTTCCTAGTCTAGGTACCTCCACCACCACCATGTCTTGTCTCGCATCCAACGAAGGTGCCATGTATTCACAAACACTAGGATTTTCTTTCAAAATTTCTTCAGTCAGATACATGTATCTCCTCTTGATCATAGATTTATCACCTGAAATAGTTATAAATAAATGACTTTAGTACAACAAAAAGAGGGGATAATATTTCTTTTAATGCAAGTATTTTGTATTAATTGATAGTCAAATTTAATATCACAATTCACAAGAAAGTAATACTCACACATGCGTTGGAATTTCTCTTTGAGTACAGTTTTGTGCTCACTGTTAGTGATTTTAAAGTAAAAATCAGGATATGTGCTTTGTTCAACACAATTTGCAGGATTAGCAGTGCCAATGGCCAAGATAGTTGCAGGACCTTCTGCCCTCTGAGCCTTGCGAATTTCAGACACACTAACCATCTTGATATCTTTGGTATGAAATAAAATTGAGGAATATAAGTTGAGCTTAACTGGTTTATAGAACTTAGTTGTTGACAAGGAAAGGATTTTATATGAAAGGGAGAGTGGATATTAGAGGTTAGGTAGATGAACATTACTTCACGTGCTTCACAAAAAGACATGCAGTGTATTATTCTATGGATGGCTGGCTAGTGTATTCGCCGATGACTTGACTTCGTAGGAGTTTGGTCGTAAATATCAGCACCACATACACATCCTCTTTAATTTGAATCATCATCTTGAATTCGTCTTTTTGAAGATTATTTTAAGACCATCATTCATCACTATCATTTATTTGTATTATTTTATAAGTTGTTAAAATAAAAGTTAAATTTTTTTAATATCAACAATTATAATTAAAAACAGTGTAAAATCTAAATTCTGTATTTCAATTAAATTATCTTTTTAATTCTTAAATAGTTATAAGATTCAATTTAGTATTTAAGAAAAAAATATTTAATTCTTGAAAAAGATCTAAAATTAATAATAATTTAATAGATTAATAAATGAAAAATTAAAATAAAACATGAAAAGCAAAACTCAGAAAAAAAAGTTATAATTGAAAAATAACTTGTTGATAAATTTTGTGTTTTTCAGAACTTGTTGATAATTTATGAACTTTTAAGTTTTTGAATTAATATTTTCTTTTCTACTAAATCAATATGCATAACACCGCAATGTGTTGATTCTCTAATTTCTTCTTAATCATCGTCATCATTGCTCTTCAATATATTTAATTATTAATTTAGTTTGTTAAACTCAAATTTAATATTTTATTTATGCTTTTTAATTCAAATTCTCTCTTTTTAAGTAATTTTAATATAAGAAATATGTACATAAATCAAGTTTATCACTAAAATGAGATCTAAATTGTTTAGGTTTAAAGGAGTTAACGAACTCTCACTACTTACGGATAAGTTATTTTTTGGATACGACTGTGCTTAATATAAACAAATGCCTTGATCATTTCTAATACTTTCACAAAATCACAATAATCAAAAGATTAAGCATGAATCAAATGAATTAAACAAAGTTTATCAGTCATCCTAGCATATAGTAAACAATGGAGGTTTTTCACAATTTGTGGTTTTTAGACCTAAGTAAAACAAGCATTCAAACAAGTTGTAATGAAACAAAATTACACATTTGCACAAAGCACAAAATTCTTAAATCATTCTAACACTCTAACCTCTACACTGGAGTGGGATAGTACAGGTTGACATTTAAAAGACCAAGAGAATAAGTCATCACAAAGAAACACACAATAATTAAAGTAGATCTTCTTGTATTTAGGCAGTTTCCACAAGCTGAATTTGTGTAAGAAATTAAATATGAAATGGATGATAGATACATGTGTTATCCATATTGACTAGTTCCTTTACATGTGTTATCCATACATGTGAATTTTGTTGTGAATTACGACAAAATTTAATATCAAGAGAAATGTATCGATGCCTTGATCATTAAAATGTGTGTGCATCAATACACTTGTCTTGAATTAGAATTGCTTGCATCTTAATTTTTCACAACCCGAAGTCGTTGTTACCAAAAAATTTCTCGATCTGCCATCTACTAACCATGGTGCTCACTTGTCAACAATATCTCTTTGCTCCACACTCACCGCACCACTGGTTGTAAATCTTGTTGTGAATTTCGACAAAATTCAATATTAATTTGTGAGGCAAAGAATAATAGCAACCAAAATAAATGGTCTTCAGCAATAATAATCCGTACACAGATAATATAACAGATAATATAACAGAACAAGGAAAGAAAAACCAAAGGTTTATTTACCCAGTTCAATCAAACGATCTATTCTAGGGGAGAAAGCAGCTCTCCAACTCACTATACTCAGAAAGTTATTACAAGAGATTACAGATGAGTTACAAGAAAATAGCTTTCGCCTTCAGATTCCCTGAAGGCGCCCAAAAACAACCCTATTTTTTACACAAGTATTTTCCTATCTCTCCAACTCTCAATATATGAATCACTCGAACCCAAGGTGTAATCCAATATTTTCCAAGGTGTAATCCAATGTTTTCTTTGTGCATAGCTGAAACCCTATGTTATACCTTTAAACCCTTGGTGTTCCTTGTTGGTGAAAACTCTAAGATTGTCACACACCAAACATATAAGAGATACATATTTATAATAGAAAATAGCCAACAAATAAAGTCCAAAACCACATGGATCCATGGACCGAATCGAAAAAAGCCTGAAAATTCGAAAACACTATTCACCGTACGGACGTCACTATTCACCCGTACATATAGTACCATTCGCCACACGACCGTCACTATTCACCGACTGATTTTTTTTCTCGACTTTTCGTCTGAACTTTTAAAGCTTCCAATTTTTGCGGTAAATGCAATTTTCAAAATATGTTTTCTTTCTCTTCAATAACAAAGGTTTTAAGGCACATTTACAACATTTTTAATTCTAAAGAAACACAACAAATAAGAAACTAAATCAGGGTTTCATAGAATTGTAATAGAGGAGAGAAAAGGGCACACGTGATAGATGAGTTTAGTAAACTTTATCAGTTTGAGCTACAAATTCAGTATGTTGTTCTTTTCACCTCAGGGTTCATTTTGGTCCCTTAATTTTAAAAAGGTCTATATTGATCTCTTAACTCTTCAAAACGTTCCATATTAGTCCTTTTTGTCCTATTAGAGACGGAAAAATTCAAAAATCAATCGCTAAATTCGTCGCTAATTAGACAAAAAGGGCTGATATGGAACGTTTTGAAGAGTTAATGAGCCAATATGAATCATTTTAAAATTAAGGGACCAAAATGAACCCAAAAGTTAAGATACGAGACTAAAAAGAGTATTAAGCCTTAATTTTATTTATATTCCTGTTGAGTAGTTTTAAATTCTCTTAGAGTTGTTTTGGTATACAATATTTTGTAAAGGGGTTTTTTCTATTGTGTTTCTCACTTTTATTGTTTATTGGTGAAGATTGTTATTCTCTAGTATTACTACAAGGAATTTTGTATACTCATTATTTATATAGTAGAAGGTTTTAGTGGACTACCTCCCGTGGTTCTTATTCTCTCATTTTTAGGGTAGTTTTCCATGTTAAAAATCAAGTGTTCTTGTTATTTAATTTTTTTGTTATTATTATTCTGCTATAGAATTGCTCTTGCTAATTGATTGTTTAAATTGCATAGGTTTGAGAAAGTATTCTGCTTGAAAAATATTACGATTATTTGATAATTTCCTAAAAGGTAGGATCAAGAGCTCTTGTTGACTTGTTTTATATATTTTAACTGGAGAAAAATCAAGAGTCTAATATGATTAAGCTCAATCCTACTAATTATACACTCTGAAAAACTCTCATGGAATATCATGTTATACAACAAAGATTTGTATGATCTTATTAAAGAGGGAAAAGGTAAACCAAGTGATAAGTCAGATGCTGAATGGAAGAAGATGAATTGGAAGACAATTGTTATAATCAAACAATGGTTGGACTTGAATGTATATATACATGTTGAAGCTGAAATTGATGCGTAGAAGATGTGGAATAAATTAAAAGACTTGTATGAGCGCAAGAATATGGAAATAAAACATATTTGATCAGGAAAGCTAGTTAATATGAAGTACAAGGATGGTGACTCAATGACAAAGTATATGAGTATGTTTCAGAATATTAAAAATCAATTGGCATTTACTGATATTAAGTTGGATGATGAGTTGAAAGCCTTATTACCACTTATTTTCTTGTTTGATTAATGGGAAGTTCTAGTTGTGACACTTGCTAATTCAACTCCGAGTGGGAAATTGGTAATGTCAAAGATTAAAGATAGCATGCTTAATGAAGAAGTTAGAAGAAAAGATTGTGGTTTGATTGTTATTCCTAATCAATATGATGATATAGTTATTGATTCAAGAGGGAAATAAAAACCATAAATTGTCATAAGCGTGACAAATTTGAGACTCGTGGCAAGTCAATAAAAAAAGTCAAAAACTGGAAAAGAAATAATATGCTACAATTGTGGAAAGATGGGACACATACAAATGAATTGTAGATTTATCAAAAGTGAATATTCAAGAGAAAGAGATTAAGGTAATGAGAAGAAAAATGATAAAGACACAGTAACAGTTGCACGTGATAATGATGTCTACCTTATTTATGATGATAATTTCATAAACCTTGCATGTCAAGATTCACCTTGAATTATTGATTCACGTGTCTAGTACCATGTTTCTCTTAGACGTGATTTCTTCTCATCTTATATTGTTGGTGACTTTGGAACGTTTAAAAAAATGGGAAATAAGAGAGTTTTTGAAATTTTTTGGTATGCAAGATGTTTGGGTTGAAATTGGTGTTGGATGCAAGCTTAAATTAAAAAAAAATATGAGACATGCTCCTAATATGTATATCAACTTGATTTCGGCCAAAGACTTGGATATTGAAGGTTATCACACTTATTATGGTAGTGGTGGCATGTGTAAGATCACAAAAGGATCACGAGTGATAGCAAAGGAGCAAAGTCCTATAACTCTTTACATGGTGCATGCAAAGCTAGGCAAAGAGGAAGCAAGTGCAGTTGAGGATGCATCTAGTATTTTATGGAATACACACCTTGATCACTTGAGTGAGAAAGGTCTCAATGTTCTTGCAAAGAAAAAAATTCTTCAGGTGAAAGGTACTCCTCTAAAAACATGTACTCATTGTGTTTCTAGTAAGAAACATAAAGTTTCCTTTAATAGTAATGATCCTCACAGGAGGCCAAATACTCTAGATAGTTCACACCAATATTTTCATGATAGATGGTAAATATTTAGATGGTGCATCATATTATGTTAATTTTATTTACGACCACTCTAGAAAAGTGTGAACTTTTGTTTTCAAATCTAAAGACCAAGTACTATGTGTTTTCAAGCACTTTCATGCAAGTGTTGAAAGGAAGGAAGGAAGCTGAAATGTGTCAGAGATGATAATGGTGGTGAATA